TACTGTTACTACATAAATGGGAAATATCTTTCAAATCTTTTCTTGATCTCACTATGATGATATCTACATCATTTTATATTCAGCATGAAGTTTAATCAATTGTTAAAAAACACGGAAATATTTATTAATGATTCTTTCCTTTTTATTAATCTATACCAAAAATAGTTTATATGATAAAATAAATAAAAATATATACATGTTGATCCAATATATCCGTATAATACCTTTTAAATATTCTAAATTGATACAACTAAGGACGTTTTAAGTTCTTTGTATAATTCTCAAATGTCGCTATATGCTGTTTTTTCAGAAAACTTTTAAATCCTGAAAATAACACAAGATATATTTTTCCAGTTAAATATCTTTGAATCACTTTGTATATACAACTTGATATCAAAGATTACAGTTTTTCCTCTCATCATCTTTTACCATATATTATTGCTTATTAATCTTTAAAAGATATCTTACACTTATCTATAATAGTTACCTATAAATAAATGTTGCAACTGTCTGCTCGGTGGAAATAAACTCGATAATGTTTTCAGCAATTCATCGAAATCGCCACTTTGTGTATATCTCTGTATCATTGTTGCGAACAACTTATAATCACTCACTGATAATGCCTGTTTTACCTTGAAGCATTATATTTAAATTAAGGTTGCATCATTTTCTACTTTTTTTTTAGAAACATCATTGAACAATTTTATACTTACATCTTTTAAATATTGTTTTCCCAGTGTCTTTTTGTCATCCTTATTGGCCTCTTTATCACTTTGTGTGAAACTTATAGAATTACTTCCCGGATCTGCTGATGGAACGGTGGAAGGGCCAGAAAAATATGTATCAACTTTAGGTGGCAAAATATTAATTTTTCTACGTTTCACGGCTGGCTCATTGACGTGCTTTGCTAGTTCGCAAGTACTCTGATGGTCTTTTAGTTTGCAAGTACTAAAATTGATCGAGGATTGTGGCTTCAGTGACTGTTTGTCTTTTGCACTTTCGTTCAAATACATATCTAGATTAAAGCTATCATTTGTTGATTTCGTTGTTACGATATTGCTTTGTGTTTTCTGTTTGAGCGAGTGTGGCACCGTTGTTTCAAATCTGGCACCCACAGCAGGTAGTGGAACAATATTATTCCCATATTGTGAGTGAGTGGCATCAGGTTGCGGCAGCTGGAGTCGCGTTCGTGAGTTAAAATAAATTATTTAATAGCTGTACAATTACATTTAAAAAAATGCACTCAATTAGAATGTAAAAAACTTACGGTACTCTCTGCATATCTGAAGAATTCCCGTAATTCTTTTGTGATCATACCGAAATTCGTAAATTTCTTGACGTACGGCCTGAGCCAAGCAGACAATTGTTTCTTAAAGTTTGGGTTCTCAAATCTACAATCACAGAGTATCACAGCACCATAGTCGTTTTTATGTCTTATTATTCTACCAATAGCTTGATTAACAGCCCGTGATGCCTCGAGCTGATACCATTCTTGCCCTGTTAAACCCTGAACATTAAATTTATTCGTGAGTACCACATTAAAATTATCACAGTGTCATTATCTTTAAGTGTCAACATTTACGGATTTATACACCTGTTTTTCTGCAGTTCTTATTTCCTCCAAGTATCTTTGCTTCAGCATAACTCGCGGGTCTTTCAAAGGCGGAAACGGAAGACCGATGATTAATACAGCCCTGCCGTTCGCGTTAGCAAAGTCCAGACCCTCGCTGACTTTTCCTCTGCACACCGCCATAAAAACGGCCCCCTTGCACGACGGGTCTTTGATCTTTTGATAATACTCATTCATCACATTGACAAATCCATCCTTAGAGTTGGGTTCTACATAAATAGGCTGTTATCCGGTATAATTAGTATCAGAAAATACTCTGCGTCGTGTGAGGTACACATAAATTTGCATGTTCGTTACCTTACGCTCGGTAATTTGCGTCCACAGACCCATATTTTGCCAATCGTCCCTACACTTCTTCATGATCGGATATGAAGGGAAAAATATTAATAAACCGTGAGGTACAATGCAACTGAAGTTATATATTGTTCTTCCAAGAGACGCAATGTATTTCGGATCATTCCTGTGGAGGGGTACAAGGATTATGACGAAAAAAAGACTATCGCGATTATTGATGATGTATTATTGACAGTACCGGTAGATTATTGGCAGTAACGTTTACCTGGTATTGTAAGACGAATTAAGCGGGTGATTATCCGGTCCTTGGCTGAGAACACCAACACACATTTGTTCCTTCGTCACAATATGCGGATTCTCTAATTGAACGGCGATTGGTATACCAAGTTCGGATATAAATGGTTTCAACGGAGATAATGTACCGCTCGTGAGCACCACCGAACGTACCCCTTGTTCTACCATTTGTTGCATACTGTAAAATATATTTATCGTTATAGCATCTCAATATGACTCAAATAATGTATCTTTTCTATTGATTCATACCCGAAACCAGGACTGAAACACCAGTAACTGATAAGCTTTCCGTCAGCTTTTGTCGTTGTCTTTTTGCTCTCCCAAATGTCACTCTTATAGTTCTTCTTCTGTTCTTCTATCTGTATATGAACTTTGTAACAGCGCTTCACCTTTTCCATGTGACGCACGATAGAAGCACCGCTATTAAACGCAATCTTCAGTAAATCACAAAATTTTTGCAGAGCATTTCCCTTCCTCGCAAATGGCGAAGTACTGGTAGTTGTGAGATACAAGACGATCTTCTCCAATTTCTCCACCACGATTTGCTCTTTGCCATGTGTCAACTGTTATGAAAATGGTGTATTCAGCGATGTATTATTTCATGTATTATTTCATGTATTATTTCAATAATATGACGTTAAAGAACTTTAAGATTGCCTACCTCAGCTTTTTCAAGCAGTTCAAAAATAAATCCACCTGGCAAAGTGTCTCCTTCGTTACGATTTTTCAGTTCAATGGAATCGATCGCTTTCTCCAGCTCCAAAAACATCGCCTTTAAGATGCATAAATCCTCCGCTGTGAAATCTCTTTGGACATTTTCTGTTAGGAAGTCATTCTGTAGTTCCGCTTCCTTAGCTATATCTTGCATTATTCCAGTTACTTCGTCGATACACATTGCAACATCTGTACTACTTATCTGCAAATATACACAATGTTCATTTAATTATGTAATAGATATTAAATATCAAGGGAATAAATATTTGTTTCTATACCTGTAATGACGCTGCTTCTTCGCAAACTTTTTCAACATTGTGAGCTTCATCCAGCAATACTACAGTATTTTGTAAGTCTATACCTTGTGACTTGCGTGTTTTAGGATCAAGCAAATAATTATAAGGCATAAAAACGATATCCGCGCTTTGTTTTAATTCCTTTGCCAAGAAATAAGGGCAGCACTTGTGCTTCTGTCCAGCTTTAACTAGGTCTTCTATATCTAGTATTTCTTGCCTAAAGGTAGGATCATCCTTTCTAAAAATATCAAAATTTATATGTATATACATATATATATTCTCTTGTATTTTTTCTGTTTATATTGAAATTTATTTCAGATATTTAGATATTATAGATACCTGGTCTCAACATTATTGAAATAAAAACAAGTTCTTGACTTTACTTTGGAATGGCACATATGTATCTTATTAAAAGTTGTTGTTTCTTTAGAAACTTCTGGATGAATACACAATTGATCTCGAGATCCCAGCACAGCTGTGGATATATGCTTGTACGAGGTTCTCTTCAACTCGTGCATAGCTTGAGAAAGTTGAGAATGTGTTCGAGATGCATAAATGACTTTAGGCATGGCCCAACCAAAATTTTGGAGATTGTCAGGTACTCCTGCTGCTTTTTCAAGTCCACTGGTTAAATGCTTAAAAAAATTCCCTCCAAGGTCTTTCTTCTCAATTGCTATTACTTGAGCTTGTAATTGAGCTTTCTTCGCTAAAAGCCAGCTTAACGAGGAACATAACAGACTAAGAGTCTTTCCAGTGCCTGTATAATATTTATTCAATTAGCAAAAAATCAATGTAGGAAATATTAAAATATATGAATACGAAATTGTTATTTTAAACCGTAAACTAAATTCCTAAATTTCAACCGTAAATACATGTGCGTGCATGTAAATAAAAATACATACCTGTGGGAGATTCCAATACACCGTGTTGACCATTTTGCAGACATTCTATCACTTTACGCATATATTCCTCCTGTACGGGATACGGTTTAAAAGGGAAGCTGACAATAATATCATTAATCGTGATATCTGGCATCTTGTAGGTTGATTAGAAATATACTAATTGCAGCAACACTTTGCAATTATGACAGATTTTCCCGCCTGCAACCCAACCTAACTTCACTCGGCAAAACGCTGCTTTACGTACATTTTTTCTGCACGAGTGCAGAAAGTTCAGCTGAACTATACGCGCTCAGAATGGAAAGTACAGAGGGTACGATCGGAACTTCTTGTTTACTAACCTCACCGTGACTCGTTGAACATATCTCCGCAGCTGAGTTTGAGTTTAACCAATGAGAAGTACGACGGGTAGTGGGAGAGCTTTGGTTTCTACCTATATCTATATGATAACGCTGCGATAAGGATTTTTGTTTCGATGAGAAAACTGTGCTGACTGAAAAATATTTAGTGGGCCATCCACTTACCGGGAGGAGACAACTTGAGATTAGGTTAGTGTTAATCAGCTGATCAACCGGTGGAACAGCCGCAGCAGACACGGCACTATTCACGTAACAGATTTGTACGTTTTTAAATTATTTCTTATTGGTTTATTTATCCATAAACGAATCCGTAACGTTATTCTATCGCGATATAAGCGGGGAAAATTAATTAGAAGAACAATAGAACGATTCTTCTTTCTTACCACGTACGATGAGTTGAAGGTCAACAAGCGTTGGTTGTTGACCTCGAAGATAATGTTCCGTGTATTAAGAAAGTGATCGGAAGATGACAAAGGAAGTAACGTAAGGTTTAAGAATTCTGAAATTTGAATCTCTCCAATCGCACAATACGGACGCGATATTTTGGTTGCTCTTTTCAAATATAACGGACATTCACATTCCGTTGTAACTTTGAGTGAATCGTACGAAGACACTTAATCATTGATAATCTAACAAGATATAATTTCGCTCGGTAATATTTGAAATGAACGCGATGAATTTTAAAACGTTCAGTCGCTCAATATTCCCAACTCCTTTTTGGTATCAATATAAGATAAAAGGTCAGTGTCGGAAGCTTATCTCAGAGACATAAATGTATTAACGAATACGATTTGTGCTCATTAACAACGCTTTGTATCCATTAAATTGTCTTTAATAAATTTGTATACTTAATTAACCAGTATAGTGCTTATTAACTATGCTTCGCTATATGGTTTTATATTCAAAGTAAAATACATATGTATTTTCCTTTTGATCATATATTCGAATTATCTTGTTATTTTTATACAATTGCACATATATCACGTATATTAATTATGTGTCTATTTTTTTTTCTTTTTGCAGTGTATGATTGTAATTGAACATTCACGATGCGTCTGGTAATCTGTGACTCGGTAGACTATGTTTCGGAATGGTCTGCAAAGTATGTCTTAAAGAAAATCAAAGACTTTAATCCCAATGAAAACAAATATTTTGTACTTGGCCTTCCTACAGGTACATGGTGACTTTTATCTTTTATATATTTTATTTTTCTAATATCTCATTAATGTGTGAAAAGTAATCTGACTTATATATAAGAATATGAATTCAGGACAGGCTAATTGAACAAAACGATATCAGTCAGAATATACATATCTCATTCATTTTTTTATGTCTCTTTCTCTCTCTTCTGTTCAAACTCTCTAGGAGGTACACCTCTGGGAATGTACAAGAAGCTCATAGAATTTCACAAGGCAGGAAAACTCTCCTTCAAATATGTCAAGACGTTCAACATGGACGAGTACGTCGACTTACCGAGAGATCATCCGGAATCCTATCATCATTACATGTACCACAACTTCTTCAAACATATAGATATCAATCCGAAGAATGTGCATATACTCGATGGGAACGCGCCTGATCTCGAGAAAGAGTGCGACGACTTTGAGAGGAAGATTAAAGAGGCTGGTGGAGTAGAATTATTTATCGGAGGTTGGTATGATAGTATTTTTGAGAACGCCGGAGTTCTTAACGTTAATCTGTGATGCTGTACGTGTGAAGATGATTTTACGCGACGCTAATTTTGTGAAATTAGGGATCGGTCCAGACGGACATATAGCTTTCAACGAGCCGGGCTCGTCGTTAGCTTCTCGTACCAGAGTGAAGACTCTCGCGCACGACACCTTGGAGGCTAACGCGAGATTTTTTGGCAACGACATCAACAAAGTGCCGAAACAGGCGTTAACTGTAGGCGTTGGCACCGTAATGGATGCTAAGGAAGTAATGATTCTTATCACCGGTTCTCATAAAGCATTTGCGCTTTACAAAGCGATAGAGGAGGGTATCAATCATATGTGGACGGTATCTGCGTTTCAACAACATCCACGTACAATCATAATTTGCGATGAGGACGCGACTTTGGAGTTACGTGTGAAAACGGTGAAATATTTCAAGGTAACCTATCTATCTTTTTTTTCTCTTTCTATATATATTTAAGGCACATTTTTCTTTGGTTCGGTATCTTTGCATGGTAAATTGGAATCTATCTATATATATCTAAGGTGTAAACCTTTCTTGGCATCTCTGTATGGTAAATTGAAAGCATGCTAAATCGGTAGGATGGAGAAGTTTTCACGTAAATCTATATAATCCGTATATAATCACCCAAATACATTTACCTATTCAATTTATATATGTTTATATCTGTATGTATATTTGTAATTACTTTGAGTGTTGTTTAGGCCCTCAGTGATGTACACCTCAAGTTGATTGAGGAAGATGGACCTGCAATCCCCCGTCGTACAATGCAAAACGATTAAAATGGTACTTATCCAGGGTTTCTGTAATTAACAAATTTCATCGATAAAATCCATGTTCACATTTCCCTTTTTATTCCGTAAAAATTTGTTACGTGTCACACGCCACATGTGTCGCGCACTTATTCTCGTAAATTTTGTTATATTTTGTGTAAATTGTAATTGACTCTAAAGGTATACGGTTCACCATACTTTCTTCCTTGCAGGTTTTAGCAGATGTTCATGATAAATTAATCGAGAGAGAAGAATGAATTTTTAATGGAATAAGAAGGATTTTTATTATGACGGATTTATACGAGAAGAATTCCAAACAATCAAGAGTAGTATCAACATGCAGGCGATCGCGCTGTGATTGAGAAATTACAACATATAATGCAACATTTTTATATTCATTATTTTACTTCATACTTTCCATATAAAAAAGATTTCTATTCTATACGTCGTTTTGCAAACTGCCATATAAATATCAGGGAAATATATTTTTGTATTACTGTGTTTTCTCTACTCTTTCCAAAATAAATATATATCCTCTTTGTCTATACATTCGTATGTTTATTACAGGAACCTCTCTTTAATAAATTATTTCTCCGGCGTGATAAATATTTTGATTGAAAGGTGACCGCCGTCGGACGAACAGCAAGTGGAATGTATGAATCATTTGAGAGAAACTGAGGGACCTCCGTGCGAAAAACGAGGTCAAATTGCTTAAGTAATCAAGAGAAACGGAGAATCAGCCGTTCCTATTTTAACGCCGCAGGCGCGGTAGATCAGTGATGGCGTAGCCGGAGAGCGCGCAAATCGACCAAGTAACGCCTCTTCCCTTTCGAAGATTTATCTCATTCGGCGCCGGAGCGCGTACGTGTCATGATACCATTGCATAATCATGACTAAGCGCATAAAGATTGAACGGATAATAGAGGAGGTGAACTGCACGGTCTCTGTATTATGAGTTGATTGTTCAGTGGGAGCGGTGGATCTGCTGGTGGGAGCAGGAAAGCACGAGACCATCACGCTCGGACATCAACTTGGCCAATTGTGATCGGCAGTGTCAGTCGAGCACGAAGAACGACAAGTGCGAAACAAAGTGTGCGCATCTTCTTCCTTGCCGAGCGATCATGGGCGACGAATATCAATTGAAGACGATCGAGCTGCGCGAGCTGCAGCCGCTGTTGAGGCGTACGTTTGACGATCGCCTGATTGTGGTGCGTTACACTACGAAGAACCTCCTGCCGCCCGGCGAGAATTACGGCAGCACCATCCTGAGCGTTCACGCAGTCATCAAGCGCGACGACGATGCAGACGAGGAGGATCTTCACCTTGTGGCGAAGATGTCACCGCCGACGAATTATCAGCGGAATATGTTCGACAGTCCGTTCACCTTCAAGAAGGAGATCTTCATGTACGAGAACATATTGCCTTATTACAATCAATTGGAGAGAGAGGCAGGTCTGCGGGAGGATGAGCTGTTCGACATATTGCCGAAGTATTATCAGTCCCGGATGTCACTGGACCCGGAAATCGAGTTCGACGACGATGCGGTTATCTTGATGGAAAATTTGACTGCACGCGATTATTACGTCGGCGTCAGGGCTAAAGGTAGCGATGAGTAGGCACGTTGTGATGACATCCTGATGACGATCGCTCGAGATATCGATCAAATGTTTGCGTTGTATCGCGCGAAACTCCACCCTGAAAAAGCATGACGCGCTTAATTTGGCTTTCTCGAACAGTGCTGCGTTCTTTCTCTGGATTTATTTTTAAAAATTTATTTTGAAAACAAATCTGTGAAAGATCGCATCAACTCAGAAGTCAAATAGTACATTTCTCCGTATCGCCTAAAGTACCAGATTAAATGTTACGTGATATAATGTTTACACTTTGCTCCGATATAAGATCTCTGACGTCAAATATGAAGTATCATCTCGTGGAATATTTATTTTTCGATCACATTATTCGAATAATATGTGTAAAAAATATGATGGATGAATCGACTTTTCTTTATATAAGCGCGCTAATGCACAACAATGCGCAATTGTATCTTTTCTAAATTGTAAGTATGTGTTTTCCATATGTATTTCTCTCACATCAGTTATCAACAATTCATTATTTCGTAACAAAAAATCTAATCGGGTACTTTATATCATACAGAGAGATTGATAGATACAGAAGGCATAAATATTTATGCTGATTCAATACATAACTAATGGATCTAACTCTTCGCGTTGAAAATAGCAGTCTGGGTAAATCGTTTATCAAGATTCGTCTCGTGTCATCTTGTAACATCTTTCCTCTTATTATCAGCACGATTTATGATTTTAGCGACACAAACGCAATCTGTTACGTCGATCCTTGATATTGCTTTTCTTCGTAAGAGCGATGAATCTTCCTCTTTTTGTCCACATATCATGAATTTTATGATCTGTCTGCAAATTCAGCCGTGAAGAGAACGTTCCGCGTGAAATCGCTAAGATTGCATCACATGATGCATCACATGATCGTGGTGTCCTTACCGTTTATCTAAAAATCTCAAGTACTCACAATTACATCAGAACGTTTATGTATCGAAACGTCAATATTGGTGGGCAATACACACCGCGAAATAACAAGCGTAACGATCGAATTTTTTGTTTGCCCGAGCAGGCTATGACCTCGAACACTCGAGAGTCGCGATACGCGCGATGGCGAGGTTCCACGCACTGGGCATGGCGACCAAGGAGAAGAGACCGGAGCATTTCGAGATGCTGAAGAAACGCGCCAAGTGCTTGGACTTCAAGGTCAAAGACTTTGAGGATGTGCACAATGTGATGCTGAACAAGATGCAGGAAGATCCGGACATAGCCGTGCACATTGACCGGTGCAAAGCGGTATTGGACACCGCGATCGACGAGACGAATTCCCTCTTCACCGCCACGCCGGACGAGCCGTGGTCTAGCATTATTCACTCGGACTTTTGGGTGAATAACATTATGTTCCATCGGGACGAGGAGGGCCGTGTGGACGACGTCAAGTTCGTGGACTTCCAGAACTACCTGTTCCTCAGTCCGGTGCGCGAAATGGTCTTCTACCTATTTTCCAGCACGACCGAAGAGGTGCAGGAGAATCATATCGACGAGCTGATAGATCTCTACCACGAGACGTTGATAAGCGTGTTGGAGCGCATGGACTGCGACACACGGCCGTACTCGAGGAAGGAATTCGACGCGAAACTGCCGGGCGACGCCAAACTCGAATTTACCCACGTGTGCTTTATGCTCAAAGTCCTCACTTTGGACACGAAGGAGACGGAATTCAACTACGACAAAATAAAAAATATTATGGTATCATACCGAGGCAATGACGTGTTGCTCCAACGATTACGCATAGTTGTATTATATTATGTTAAACACAACTGGATTTAAGATGCAGATAATCCGCTCCCCGGTGCCAAATGCATTATCTTATTAATGCGAAGAGTATTGCATTCCATATAGCAATTATTACACGTAACGCGACATGTGTATCGCGTTATTCCGTAAGTCATATGTAAAACTGACGATATAGCGCAACTAATTAACGTGAATCGTGGTATATGAATTTTACGAACTAGACATATATAAGAAAAAAAATGTGTATTTTTTTTTTATACCATATGTACAAGAGTACTGTGTACTTTTGCTATGTACAAATCCTCACGACTGCTACAAGCCTAAACGCAGAATCACCTTTTGACGAAACTATTATTTCCTCTTGACCTTGGGGATTTTCCTGTTTCTATTCCTGTTCTTCACATTCATGACTTCGTAGAAATTGCTCCCGACCTTTTTCCTCCTGTCGGCGCGTTCTATGGCTCTTCGCTGTTTACTCGTTAATTTTTTCTCCGACGTTTTCGCACTTCCCACGGAGCGCACCGATGAGACGACGAATGTGCCGCTGCTACATTCCATCCTGGTGGTCTCACTGTCGCTGGAATCGTAATTCTTGTCCACGATGTCGAACACACTCTGCTTCAGATTATCTTGTTCGACAGGCAAATGAATCTCCGCATCAGAACACTCATTATCGTCTCCTCCCGCCGACACTTTTCTCTCTACATTCCCGTCGTTCTTTTCAACATCATCTTTGCTCTTCTTACCTTCAGTCTCATAACATTTTTTATCTTCCAAATTATTCGAATTGTTCGGTTCTTGCGGATTTACGTTTGATTTGTCTTCCGTTGTACGCGAGCTATCCTTCAATTCCGATTCATCCGCCGATTCGCTCTCTGTGCTATTTTCATCTTCTACCTCGAGAGATTGATCCGCGTAGAGGTCATTTCTCACGTCGTCGCCGGAATATAGCAAACCGACGCGAATTTTCTTAAAGTTTTGCATTACCGTTATCTGATTGTTTACCGGTTCCTGCTTAGATGAATTATCAACCTTTCCTATCTCCCCGTTATCGATAGCTTCTGCCGTATTATCATCTCGCGTTTTATTGCTGGTTACTTGCTGCTTAGATAACGGTTCCTCGAAACCTATTGGTGGAACGTAAAACGGCAATTTACCGCGTTGCCAATCGTTCAGCACCATACGCGCGGCGATCGTGACGTCAGGTTCCCCCTTCTTCAAGAGCTTGCCTGTTCGACGCGCCAACTTCTCCAAGAAATCAACGTGATCTTCCCACTCTTCGATCTTGTAAGTTTTACGCATGTACTCGGGCTTCACTCTCTCCAAAACGGAGGACACGTAATCCTCCGGGTTCTGAACGAGTTCCACTCTCACGACCCCTTTCAACACCTTTTCCGTATCGGTTTCCGCCGACGGATAAACGACACCGGGACAGTCTATCAGATAGATGCGGCGCATCAGAGTTATGTATTGCCACACCTTTGTTTCGCCGGCGATAGGCGCTACCTTGCAGACCTTCTTGGAGCGCAGGGTGTTTATGATGGAGCTCTTTCCCGTGTTGGGATATCCTATGAAACCCACGCTGATCTGCTTCTTGTCGACGTGCAATTTAGCGAACTGTCTCAGCAGATTGATCAAGGAGCCCTTACCGAAAGGATGCGTCAGAGAGGCGTGGAAGGCGACCGTTGGATATTCTTTACTCAGAATAGCCACCCATCTCTGTGTGACCCAGGTCGGCACCAAATCCACTTTATTTAAAATGAATATCAGGTGCTTGTAAGATTTCTCAGTCTTCAAGTATTTCTCCACAGGCGGAGATCTAGTGCCTAACGGGTCTCTCGCATCCAATATCTGTAGGACAACATCGGAGGAATCGATGACCTTGTACAGTTCGTTCCATATCCTCTTGCTTTGTCCCGCTGCCATCACCCAGTCTCTCTGCGCATCCTTCACGCCCGTGTCCTCGCGAATAAGATCATGATCTTTCGTGTCTTTGTCCTTGCTGTAAGTGTCTTCTTTCTCCTCGGCTAATTTTTGCAGCTCGTTGTATGAAGTCACCATTAAATTAGGCCTCTTCCTGACCTTTTTCGGACCGAAGACGCTCTCGAAACTCTCCGTATCCAACAGATGTACTCTGGCATTCGCTGCTTTCTGCTGAAGTAAAGTCACAGGCAATTGAGTGGGTTTCATAACCACTTTGTAGGGATCCTTCATAGCTGCGCCTAATTCAGCCTGGAATTTCTGTAAAGCGTTCTGTGAAATGACTCGTGAGTTGCCAAACCATCTTTGAGATGGCTCCACACGCGACATAGTCCCAGACTTGTTCCAACCTTGAAATGGCGCAGGACTAATGATTTTGCCAACACGATTACGTTTTGGTTTTTGATTACGATACATCTGCAGCCTCTTGATGGTTGCTTTAGTTCGTACCTTAGCGACACCTTTCAGTCCTTCCGTGGGACGTTCGGGATTCATGCTATGTCCTGAACGATTGAAACCCTCCTTCCGCGGAGGTTTATTGGTAGCTCGTGATTTTGCCATTATGTCTGTAATAAACACACCACTTTAAATTTTCCGGAATATGAACAGAATATATAAAAAGAAACAACCAAGTGATGTTCATATTGTAGAAACGAATTCAACCTTTTTGATCACATCTGGTTATATACATGCCCCATAATAAGTTCAAACATTTATTTTACGTTAGCATTGGTTATTTTTCTATATGTAACATTAAATACATATTTAAAACTAAAGGGAAAGTGGGACTGAAAGAATTTAAGCAAGACCGTTTATTCTGATATGAAATAATTTTGATAATTATATGTTTCAATATTCAGTTGATTAATTAGAATGGCTCTCATAAATTATACGAATAGAAAAGAATATTTCTCGAAACTTTTTACAAAATAACCTATACACGTCGTATAAGGAAGACGTACGTACTCAGAGTTAATATAAAAGGATTATAAATGATAATTGACGAAAATATACTTACCAGTAATATGTTGTTTCCCTTAAGTTATATAAATAACTCACAAATTTAATAATTACTCAACATATGTAACAAAAACGACATAAACAAAAATTTACATGCGTCTCACACGTTAAATGGCCACGTGCCCGGTCTTTTTGTTAGTTTCGGAGTCTCCGCTACGAGCCGCTGCCGTATCTATCGAAAAATTGAGGTGTAGTAAAGAACAGACCTTATAGAACTTGTATGTTTATCGTGTACAAAATATTTAATTATTAGGAAAGAATTTTTTAATATATCTGTAGGTATTTTCATTATTCATTATTCGTGTAACAAAATCACAGGAATCTCAGGAAATGAACTTATTTTCAATTGTACGCGGTAGCAGCCATAGTGACGATTGGAATCGCATTCGATACTCGACAATGTCACTCCGAGAGTACGTCTGAATAATTTGTGGCCGATTTCAGTTCTTGTTGATACTATATCGCTTTGTAAGATAATTCGGGCCATTGATTCGCGTTACTTTCTCGATTATCATCTCGTTCACAATGCAAACAGAAGCGAGAAATTGAATTAATTGAAGTTAGCACTTGGAAATATCGATGCAATCGCATGTAATTGAGACGAAATCAGAGATAACCTTACGCTGACACCCGGTATACTGTCAATAGCCGATTCCGTACGCGCATGCGCGAAACGCTCCACACAATATAAGCAACTTCGCGGCACAATTCGTGGAAGAAATTCCGCGCTGAGAAGGTGGGGAGGGAACGTTTCATTCGTGGACGCACACATAAGTAGAAATCTCTGTGGAGATCGTCGTAAATATGTGGTGTCAAACTAACCATGCTGAGACGTATTAGTCGCCGCAAGAATTAGGTTTGCCGCAGCAATCAAAAGATGGTTTCGATCATCAAAAATCAGTTGCTGAAACACTTGTCGAGGTATGTCCGCGTGACCACGATTAATTAACTTAGACGTATGGTTTCGCGGTTTAGTGACACTCCGGGAAAAAATGCATCCACCCTTTTTGTATAAGCGAGCCACACGTCACGCTCTACGTTTCTTTAAGCCTTCTTATCTTTTAAACGTTCGTCTTATCGCGAATCGTACCAACGTGTCGCATATTTTCCGTCTTTTTGGCATGAATAATTTGTCGGACATATATTTACAGTAGCAGCTGGAAGAGAAAGTACTCTCTCCACCTCTCTCTTTCTTTCTTTCTCTCTCTCTCTCTCTCTCTCTCTCTCTCTCTCTCTCTCTCTCTATATATATATATATATATATCTATCTATCCCCATTCTTATAATTGAGGCACTCGTCATATCCTACCGATAGATGGTTTTATTTCGCTTTTACTCGGCAATGAAAGTCATTTTTGCAAATTGGCTGAATCAGCAAATAGCGCCATATAACTTTTGTTAACTATATAATATTTCTTTGTGTAGAAATTCATACATCATATGTGCTAATTAATATCTATATTAACTAAGCAATAAATACAGTTAATGAAAAATTTATTTGCTTCATTGTCCTTTCGCAACTAATAGTACATGAGTATATGCATGTCGAGCCATTTTTCTATAAACATTATAGGTTTACCAAGAATCTATCAGCTGACAAAATAAATCTGAGCACATTCAAGGGTGAAGGAGAACTGACAAATTTAGAACTCGATGAAATAGTTCTCACAGATTTACTAGAGCTGCCATCATGGTTAAGACTAACTAATGCTTGGTGCAATAAAGTTTCATTTCGTATACAATGGACCAAACTAAAAAGTGTTCCTATTTTTTTGGTAAATAAAATTTTTATATGCACACATGTGCAATTATACACACTGTCATCCATATACCGAGCTTATTTATTATTTATGCAAATAATACAATTATTTTATTTGCAGAGTTTGGATGAGGTTCATATAGATGTAGAAACATGTGAAGATTTAAGAAGCATGTCTTCCCCGCAGGGTATATCATCATATGCAGGTCCTGCAAAATATTCTTTTATACATAAAGTAATCGATGGAATAACTGTTGCTGTTAATATTGTGTTGGTCACATTTAAAAGTCCTGCATTCATTGCCTCAGTTCAGGTACGAAATTCATACCAGTCATAATGATGAGTTTACATAATATTTACGATAATATATAATAAAGAGTATACACGTAAGTCTATACTCAGTATTAAAACAGTAAATTAAACTAAATATGTTTTGCTTTTCACATTAACAACTTGTAATGCATTATTTAGATGAATCGGATCATGGTGGAATCCAAGTCAGCAACATGGCAACGATGTGATCTCAGAACCACTAGAGTAAAGGATCCTGATCGAGGGCAGTTGCTTATTTTTAAAGAGTTAGAATGGCAAACTCTTAGAATAGAGGCCCAGAGCACTAAGGACAAGAATCTGACACCACTTCGGTTGCTTACAAACCAAGCTAGGTGTCGAATTACCATAAAGAAAAGAATATCAGGTTTGTAGAGTAGCTTGAAATGTGGGTGAATGTGTTGTTTGCACCATTACTGAATTAAGTGTTCCTTGCAGATTGCTTTGTCATGGGCTCCAGGCTAGTAATCATTTTGGATGATCTTTTGTGGGTGTTAACAGACTCGCAGCTAAAAGCTGCGCTCCATTTCATCGACTCTTTGGGTGGACTTATCGAGAAAGCGACTATTCTCGAACGGAAAACAAAAGCCGCAAGGAAATTAGAGGTTTGTACAGTTCATTTGATTTTCTCCTCTTATGGAGTATCATAAAACTAATATAATCTCTCTGTCAATTTATATTTCTATTATTTTATATACATTTATATATATTATATATTATTTTTACTTTCAATTTATATTTCTCTATAATTTAAGGTCTTACCAGAATATCAAGCCCAGGTATCTCAGCAAAGTAGAACGAAGAGTCAATGTAACACAGCGATATCGAAGATATTTACAAGATACGATGTTGTAGAGACGTCATATCACTTTCTTTCTCAGCGTATTGATCTCCATTTGTGTGATGATGCTGGCGGTAAGTTTGGAGGAAATTTATATCGCTCGTGGCTTATGGCTAAATCGCACATTAGAAAAACTCTAACTACTATGTCATATATGCATTATACATAATATTTATTTGCTATCAAAATAATAGGAGGCAGATCTCTACATCCTGATCTTATGGAGGGTGGCGCGCTGCAAATTTCATTAGTGAAATTTCAAATTGATTATTATCCATATCATTTGGCGATGGCAGATAGGAAGCATTGGGCCAAATACAAAGAAAATGCCACACCTCACAGTCAGTGGTTGCAGCAATCGTTGAGTTCGTTTCGAAGTCAGTTTATGGATCTCATTGATTCCGGTAGAACGCAACACTCCCCATTGACGAGAAGTCAGGGAAACGTCGCAGGTTTGTGAATATCGGTTAATATAAATCGGTTATGTGTGTAGGCCGATATATAAACATTTATGTAATGTATTCTGTCTCGATGTACAGGTAGTACGACGAAAGGTTCTGGAGAAAATCTGGAAAAGAACAGTCAACCGCAGAACACGAACGTAGCTCCGTCCGAGCAGAAGAAGTCGCAACACCCCAGTGGCAATCCAGTGAAGAATTATGTCTTGGAGCAGCTTGCCAAGCTCATGACGACGTGCATCATCATCAGGATCGACGACTTTACCTTGTACAAAGTGACAACGACGTCGCGTAATCCGATGCCCAAGGAATTTATCACAGGTATTATACATTTTATGTATAACGTACACATTTAAGTATTCGTCAGGCTTGTGTGCTGTTTAATGAGATACGTTACGTTTCTTATCAGTCAAGTTTACCAATAATTATTTCATTTGACAATTGCACAGCTCAAACGAGGAAGAAGCATACACCAGGTACAAAATAGATCAGTAGCTGTAATCTGTGCTTGTGTTGATGTAACGTTGCACTTGAAATTCTAGCGTAATATTTAGTTTGACGGAAATGATTTGTTGTATCGCTTTTCGATTTGTTCCATTATTTATTCGATTTCTCGTCATGATGACTGATGTTAAATCATTTAAGATTAATCTGCAGCGTCTCTCAATGCGGTGCAGATTATCTCTCTCCCGCATCGTTACTGTATTAAGCCATTGCAGTGATTTATCTAAAACAATGTTGATATCACATATCACTTGCATTATAACTAGATTTTCTTTTCGTAGAAATGTTAGGTCGTGTGTTGTACAAATGCAATCTTAATGCTTCGAATAATTGTATCATAATAGAAGAAAAAACATGGTTACCGCATGTGTGAAACCCAATCCGACGATAGCTGGAAATATCACTTTTGTTGTTTAGGAATCAGATTTTATTTTCCTTAGTTCTACAGTTTTTGCTGTATCTATTTAAGCAAAATTTTTGTTTAGGTGACCGCGACAGATTCTGTCTTCCAGAAGATGTGACGATACTTCACGCTGAATTTACTTATTACTATTATCCCGGGGACATAACTTTCCCATGTAAGCAGATATCTGTGCAAATATTTTTATACGATACACGATAACTTAATTATTAATTATCATCACATAACGCGTTACATCACTTTTCAGTGCCACCACCGAAATTCTACGTACAGCTTAATCCCATCCAAGTGAACTTCGACGTCTGCTCGTGTCTTTGGTTTAATTCTTTCGCATTGAATCTTCACCATTCTCTTATAGGGAAAAACAAGCAGCTATCGCACAGTTCTACGCGTTTAATGTATTTCGACGTAAAGATAGAGGCTATACTACCAAGAGTAAGTTGATGGCACCGAGCCACAACATCATTGGCATCACTGCATCATGCGTACTTAATGTACATTCTATAATTGTCGCATTTTTATCTTAATAATGTCGATGTATAATTTCAGATAGTTTTCGAAAGCCAACAGGATTATCCGAACCAAAAGGACAGGCCAAAGTCTCTGCACCTTCAAACCTCCAGAGCGTCTATAACGAACGTCCGATCAACAGAAAGATCTTCCAGGGCGGACTTGGCACAGTGCCTGAATGCTTTTCAAATGGGACAAATGTTCTTTGGGGCTGAGTTTCCCAGTAAATCGGGGGATTTTCACGTGGTGACAGAAAAATTCCTGGCACACTGCGGAGGTATACGAATATCTTGCGCAAACATCTGAATCTGATAGATCTTCCTCTCGTTATCCTCTCGCGTATCTCTATTTCAGGCGCTGACAATATCAGACAGATACCGCCAAATTTCAGCAGCAATTCCGTGAATGAACTGATTCGCCAGCTGAACCGAGAACTTTTATGGACCGAGGCGAAAGATGTATGGTGCTGCAACTTAGAGCCTGTGTGGGGTGACTTTTTCGGAGCACGAGCCGTCGGTCAGAATCGACCTGTGCCGTTTTTGGACGCGTTTCCTCTGACATTGTGGTGTCACTTCACTACAGATTCATCGGTCCCGGAAAAGCCCTCGGCCGCGGATATTCACGGACTCGCGTACATAAGCAATCTAGTTAGCGTACAGATAAATCACTATCAGTATTTGTTCCTGCTCAGATTGTCGGAGATACTGTCCGAGATGGCCACGTATCTGGCTGTGGACTCGAATAAGATCTTGAAGATCGAAAGCGGCGGATCGTTGGTCATAGGCGCGTTGATACCGCAGGTGGAGGTGACGTTCGTGATGCCGTCGCACACGCCCGGTAAAGAGAACTCCGGCGGCGATTTGGAATCCGTCGTTCCCGACTCGTCTAGCATAGCGGACGATCTGATCGGGTCGTCCGTCGCTTGGCACACCAGCCAAGTAAGCGCGCGTGTCGATTTCAACGCCAAGAGAATGAACACGAGCAACGACGTGGAGACGCCGCAGAGCGAAGCGTCCTCGATGCTGTCGATGGATTATTCGCATTCCGCGCCAGCGACTCAGCCGGTTGTCACTTTCAAGCAAAACGGCACGAAGAAAGGCGAGCACGTCGGCCCGGTGAACGCGATCTGGTGCATTCCCGAGTCCTGCGGGCTGCAATACATCGGCGGCGAGAAGAGCGACGAGAAGAACGTGCTCCGACAATCGGCGGAAGCAACTACGGCGCATAAGCAAAGCAAATCGGACTCCAACACACCCTTCATCCCAAATAATTTCAATGTCGGTCTCTCGTCCATGAAAAAGGGATTCAGCAATCTAATGACGTCGATCGACTCAGCTCTGAAGGCTTCTCCGGAAGATGGTAGTAGCGACACGGTATCGATGAGAAGCGACGTTAGTTCGGACAGCGAGAATTATGTCCTCGTGAACCTCCAGGATCAAGGCAAGATAGACGCGGTATTCGGCATCGACAACACGATTAGGATAACAGCCGTGGAGGAAGCTACCGAAGTGGTAGAAGAGACGCCGGATACGCAAAGCGAGAAATCGATGGACAGCGTGTGCAAGAGGAAAGACTTGGTGAGTGACTACTTGTGACGATCGTGAACGCGAATTTTTCATGTTTATCATTGGAATAGGTAATAGAATCTTACATTTTCTCTCTGCAGGTTTCCATGGCAACGTTTAAGCTGTCAAAGGTCGAATTTATACAACAGTCTTGTGGCTATTCGTCCGCCATTAAGGTTCAGGTCTCTAACATTGATAATGATGAGTGTTCGTCCATTCCTTGGGACGAATTTCAGGTGAGTTAGAGATTTGGTGTGCTAACTACTATGATATAAGATATATATTTATACATATATACATATTTATACATATTTACGTTATGCTATATACATATTACTATATATATTATTATTATATTATAATTATGCTCTTTTTGGACGGATAAAATTGATTATTAATTGTATTGCTAATAAGAAATTTATTCTCTTTCTTCTTTTACGTTTATGTTAAAAAATCTTCATTATTTTCACACGATGTAGCTTGTTAATATTCCAGAGATATCATAACATTGTTCACAAAATTAAGTCAAAATTTGACAATATCTGTGGATTCAAAATATATTTCAGATGTAAATATTATATATCCGTAGTAAATCTATCTTTCTCTCTTTTTCTCTCTTATATTTGAAATAATTTGGTAATATTTGAATTTGAATCATAAGAAAATTATTTCTCCACGTGCATAACCATGCTTCAGAAAAGAAAGCATTGAACATTTTGTGATTTATTAATCATAGTAAACCTTTCCACATCTAGAGTATACATTTGAAATAGTGAGTTACTTGTGCATAAGCAACTAATACTTGAGTAGTCTTGCAGTAATTTGCTCATTATTATTTTTTTTTTTACATTACAACCAGTTGATATTATAAATGTGTATTCATACAATTTTTGTCTCTTAACTTTTTTTGCATGCCTCTCCCGCGTCTCTCCTTCTCTTGTGAATGTTTTTATGTGGCACTTGTGGCAGGTCAAGAGAAAGGTATTGGCAAAACATTCATACATATTAATCTTAGACATTATCAAAAATGTGCATGCGTTGTTATCGAGTTAAATTATATTATTATTAGGCATTCTGTTGTAATGGGAATTTTCTAAAATCAATACGAATTACTGCTATTCCCGATTAGTTCAAACGATTAATTCTCTCCTTCTCTCGTTATAATTACGCACTCTATACCTTTATCAATAGGTGTGTAAATTCTAATACCGGAAAAAACCAGCCAAATAGACAAATATTTATGCAAATAGTCACTTGTATATTTATATGATAATTATTCTTTTGCTTGATGTTGCTTAGGTTTATTAAAACAAGCGGATTGCATTTAACGTGTTTATTTGTCTACACTTTACTTCGATAAAACTTTACTACTACTACTTTATTTCGATAAAATAACTTTAAGATTTGCCAGATTTAATCATCATTTTCATTATTAAATTAGAAAGAGCTCACAGTTTGCAGATTGCAGTTTGATTTTTTTAATTTTTTGTATATTACAAAGTTAGCAAATTTAATTTTGGAACTTCCATTAACTGGATGTGGTAATGAAATATTTGTATGGTATGTTATCGGTTAGTTTTGCAAGTTACAAAAAGCTTGCGTTATAGTATTTGCGATAAAGGAATAATAATATGCTAGACCTGACTGTTAAATATTGTAGATACACGCATCACTTCACTTGCTTTATATATTATATATTGTAGATAAAATTATTAACAATGCGCTTTACACACTAGATTCCATGTTGAATTGCTTTGCGGCGCGTCTATATATGCTTTTGCATCTGAATGATATATTTTCTATAACTAATAATACGCTAAATCTCTTAACCCAAAATGGCTTGGAATTTGAGAAGTCTCTTATATTAACACAGTTTAAGAATCGATTTTTACAAATAATTAACAAGTCGAATAACGCCTTTGAATATACTGGAATTAAAACTAAGGTTTATATTTAATGTACATCCAACTTACGTTCCATCTTCAAGTCGCACCTAACGTATAGAAAGAATTTTCATAATTCATTCAGTGTCGGTAAATCATTTTGCCCCTACTGCAATATAGTATTACAATTTTAAGCAGTTAAGTTAAAATTGGTATAAAAATAGATATTTTGTTAGATATATATATTATGTAGTTTCTCAAGAATACATAAATTTAATACATTTACGCATTTTGTTTTCTTGATAGACCAAGTTCAGCTCGCGATCACGTGGCTGGGTAGAGTTGCCATCAGATTCTGACTGCAGATCGCGCGTTAAACTGCGTTTGGATCATGAATTGAAAAATAAGGAAGACTCCCGTAGACTTTCGGGCGCTAGCCAAAATACGAACGACAGTAGTAAGCGAGCACCTCAAGACCGCGCTAGATTGCCTGAGCAAGACACCTGTACGTCCGTCATCAATGTGCATGATAAAGAGAGTGTTATGAATTTATTCGAGGACAAGTTAGAGATGAAAGTCGGTAACGTAGCAATGGCGCTGTCGATGAGCTCGGTGACGGGTTTGGCAGATCTGGTGGAGGACGAGATCATACCCAAGCCGATTCCTATGCAGGTATATATATATATATATATACGTTATATTCTCACAAGGTTGTGTCGAATTTGGATACACGAAAGGACAATCTCCTTTTTATACGGAGAATGTACCGTTTCAGTTTATTGCAAGCACACGTTATTTTATTTCAGATATACTTAGAAAATATATCGTTACGTTTAAACGAAGATCGTCCGCCAAATAACATAACTTCCCCAGGCCCGATCCCAATAGATTTGAATATTTCCAAGCTTAGGATAGCGCGGGATACGAGCGGTGTGTTTCACATTGAACCCGTCGGTAAGTAACGCCATTCAAGAGAGTCGCGATCATTCTCGCCCTTTCTCTCTCTCTCTTTCTTTCTGCCACTTGCAGTTCATTACTGAGCTATCGATCGATCTTTCTTTTCCGTATTTTTTTTTTTTTTCATCTTGGTTACATCGTCCTTTTACGCCTGTAAATATACATGTATTTCTGCGATATCTCATGTTGTACGTAGGTCTTTTACATTGCGCAAGTGGCAGATTTCTGTTGGGAAGTAATTAATATTACATATCGCATAACTGTTCTGTGCACCCAGGCGGCCTTTCGAATGTGAGCATTGATATAACACACGTAGACGAGTAGCTTTAGATCTCGCTGCTTATGATTATTGCACCGCTTAAAGTGATATTTCATTCGATATATAGATATATATTTGATATATAGATAGAATATATTTTAGATACGCACACACACATACACTTAAATGAGCGTGACTCATTATCTTACGCGGTGGGCGAAGGAAAACTTTTCACATGAATATTATTTGACCGTTCTATTTTCAATTGTACATATTTTATTATCTTATGAATATGATTACATTATATTGTATCTTAATTACGAGAAATTAAATATGATATATTTTTTTTAAGTTATGTAATGTACATGTAACTTCATGAAATGTCATGCTATTACTTGCGATATATTGTGTATACGTTAATATCTTTATAGTTATTTGCTGTTCTCATCATTTAGTTGACATTACTTATAGCGCGTGTTTTAAATAGAACTTGAATACAACGTGACATTTACGAAAATTTTAGCTCCATTTCTCTCTTTTTGCCGGGGATCAAATTCCGAAGTAATTTGGCTAATGATTCTGTGTCGATACTACATACTTTATTCTTAGAAAACACATCACAAGAAATTTTATATATCGGTGTTGGATATCAGTTATCGCGTGAACTAGAGTAGTATCGGTATATAAACAATATTTTTCTAACGTTGGTTTCAATCCTTGCTCTCTGCACATATTTGATATTGATGTGAAGAACACACGCACATATATACCCTACTATAAATTTTTATAATTATAACATCTACTTCAAAATGAACTGGATATGTTATGTTTGTATGTTTCTGTATAAACTTTTCACGTAATTCGCAAGTTGGTTTATATAACGATTTTCTTCTTCTTTTTTCTTTTTTCTTTTAGTAACTATGGTGAGTGAGAGAGATTTGAATGCAGCATTATTGGGCGATGGGAATCATGCGCTTAAGAATACGGGATGCGAGGTGGAACTGAATGCACTGAGACAATCCAGCAAACAACTGAGACTAGATAACGAAGAGCTGAGGCGTCGTATGGGAGCTTTGGAAAGATTATCGGAAGAGAATGCGAAATTAATGCGCGTGAAAGAGGAGTCAGACGTGATAAGATCTCGCTTGAATGCTGCGGAGAACGATATTGCGAGCCTCCTAGAGGAAAAGCGGATCTTGCATGAAACCATAAGCGAGCTGCGAAATCAAAGGATGGAAAGCGGTCCTGCAGGTAGTAATAGAGCTTCGTGGTCTATTAAGAGATAGCATACCAGTTGTTTCGATTGCTCCAAATGTTGCAGTTCTAATAAATCTTAATCGGCTGTCTTTTCTATGTCCGATATAAGGAGAGAGAGAAGACGTTTGTTTTGATAAATTTAGGATAAATTTACGTTTATAATACACACGAAAAATTCAGTCGTTTATCTGATTATAAAAGAGAGGAAGAATGGGAAATATTGATATTACGAGGTTTCAACTTTGCAAGGATTAACGAGGGATTAGAGACTATTCGATTTTAATTTTCTCCGCAAACATTGCGCGAGGTGGTCTATAGTTATTCTTTCGGGACACATTACTCTTGTCTGCCGTAATTACGCTAGTAACTGCCGTTTAGATCTTTTATTGCTTAAAACAAAGTGATAAGAATCGTGCATAATATGTGCATAATAGCTCGCGCATAATATGCGAACTTACGTATGCAAACTTGAGTGGAGGATATATATCAACTTTCTTACTGCGATCGAGTACAAGGCGATAATAAACTGCAATATATTAGCGTGCGTTTCCTTTCACTGTTAAATTGATATTGAATCGGTGGTATGAATTCCTAATGAATGACAGAGGATTATCTGTGTGTGTTTGCCGTTTTACGGATAGCAATCGCGTGACTGAAAGTTGCGTACGACTGTATATATTGTGCACGTACACACATTTTGTTACACATCTGCATACATGACATCCTTCTGGAAGCGAAGCAATGGTCTTGAAGCGTTATGAGACGGAGGTTTTATTTATAGAGCTAGACTTCCGAGTGCACGTTTCGAAGAAAATCTGGATATCCTTTTCACGGTTCTCCTGTGTGTGTTTGTTGTACAACAATCGAAATATCTAATATAGTCTCGTCATGCTGGGATATCAGAAGGATACATATGTATGCATAACTGATTAAGCAAAGCGCGCTAGTCAGAACATCGCAATACATATTGATTGATTTCACGATCGACTATATTTTGACATCATTCTCATAGGTGTACCGAGATCCGTAAAGAGTGTATCGTGAAACACAATGAATTAGAGCATATAATTGTAACTTAATAATTAATAGTCGAGCCTACGGATAGACATAGACTGTCTGAAATTGGGAATTGACCTGGTGTGGTTGCATGATATTGTATAACATAATTTTGTATGACTGATTTAAATGACTTCATCAAACGATGAAAATTATACATAATAATAATACGGCAATGTGAATGGAACGCGTTCCAATAAGACTGTATAAAATTCGGAGATGTTGATCTATACAGTAGTCGCACTAGTGTCCTNGGGGGGGGGGGGGGAGGGTAATTTGTATAAACGTTAGAAATGGCGAATCGACAATGAATTTTTAACGGAAGGAAATGTAATATGGACCAGGCAGAAGATCGGTATGTCGCTAAGATCATCGGAGTGAGTACGAATTTTCATTTCACGATCCAGGTCTTGAAGATAAATAGCTTCCTTAGGGTTTGATTTCGATAGATTTAGTTTCTACGACGGATTGCTGGTCGATCCTATACAAATGGAAAGTATTTTTTTAGTGCGTGCGTATGAATACACGATGCAATTTAAGGTTTGTTTCATAACGTAGAATGTTTCTGCTCTTAATACACATCTGAGATACGATGTTTCATAGATACGCATTTCCATTTAGATTATATGCGGCTCCGAACGATGCGTTCCCTTGGCAAATACTTTCCTAATAAACCATTGCGAGAGTCGCGCGCGGGCGCGACATATGCATCGTATGAGATAATTTGCGTCTATGTTGATGCTGCAATTGTATGCGACGGTGTGCAGTTACGCGATTTATATTTGACTAGTGAACGCAACGAACAGAAGCTTGCATAACATATGTAAAAGAGGAATAGAAATCAGAAAGATTAAAGTGTTGCAGTTTTTGTTACTATCAGATAAACGAGATAAACTTTTATAATACACATATCATACTTACAATGAAGGGATTTGCTTATGTATAACGTATTTATACATATAGTAATAACATTTTATATTGCAGGGATATAATTTTTATTGCGGTTTAATTATGCCAATGTATCTCCTGTAATTTCAAGTCTGGCTTAAATCAACTTCCTAAAGTTTGCTCGTGGTTCCTTTTCTGAAATGTTTATGTTAAAAAAATTCAAAAATGTGTGTTTTTTTATTCCTTTTTATATTATTAGAACGGTATCCAAATCATTTATAATCTCTACGTTTAGTTTGAGAGATACGTACGCTTCTATGTAACAATGAATACGTCTTGTACACATATTATGTTTTATATATATATATATATAATCATTTTGATGTATATTTTAAATTTAAACAGAATGTTATTAATTCTTCCATTTTTTTTCTCATTATATATTTACATGAAAGCTTTAACACGATAAATACCAAATATATACATCTAACAAATGAAAGAATCGCTGCATATAACTGTCTATATTGTCTATATTGTCTCTCTGTTCAGGCATATATCGAATGGAATTGTTTCTGAATGATCCAAAGCTCAAATTCTTCCCTTATATATTTATAAGTTATTTTTATATCGCACGCGTATGACACATATTTTATCGCATCAGCAATACAGACTTTAGGAAGTTGAATGTGATAAATCTATAACGATTATGCGAAATAATCGATAATATCGCAATTTAATAAAGCGTGTGTTATAGTTTGTAACTTAGTTTAGACGTATCTTTAAGTTTTAAACGATTGTCACACATATCCCAATCAGAACTATATTCTTATATTAATTGTTGTTCGATTTTGACATGTTATCGTTTACTTTAGTCGCGTGTGTACTGTTTTGGGTCTATATATATTTTCAACTTTAGCATTATTATCAGAGCAGACAAGACTTTTCGAGAGGCGCGTTTAATTCCATACACAATTATTATGTAACTTTATACCAGTTACTCTAGTTGGTAAGATTCCAAAAAAATGTTGCATATATATAAATATATATAAAAAAAGAAAGAGAGAGAGAGAGAGAGAGAGAAAATAATCATGCGATTTATGCGCGAGTGACGGTCCCATTTCGTAAATTGATATCGTATATCAGTGGCCATGTGATACTTTATCTGAAATAACGATAACAGCCATAATTTACGAAATGAACCTATTTTATATATTAGCAAGAATATAGACATATTTGAAGATCGTCATTTCAATATCAAAGTGCTAAGAATTCCAAGGGTGGGTTGTGCAATTTCCTAGCCCGTTTGTGAACAGTATAAGGAGTCGATGTACGTTTGCCGTGTCCGCGTTATTTCTCTATAGCTTCTGTTGTGACGTGTGCTTTTGATTATTACTTAAGTATCGTAAGTAATGGTTGTGAATACGTAATGTATTCAGTCTTACTTACAAGTTGTTTGTTACAGCTATCGTTTTAAACGCACTGGGAAGAGTGCAGGATGCACATATTTTATTAATCGTCGGTAAAATTATTTCAACAATGTTAAGCATGAAATGTTATGGTGTGTGCGTTTTAACGGATATCGAGGTACGGATAAGCGAGTTCCATGATATTGAGAGAACTTAGCGATATATATATATATATGTACACATTCGTTTTCTCAAACTTATATTATTGTAACAATGATGCTGTTGTTAATTCGGCGACAACCGATTACAAGAATTCAACAATTGATATCTTCAGCTTTTTCTTTGTTTTTTCGTGGAATTGGAAGGAGCAATGGCCAAAATGTAATTTCATCTTTTCAATGTATAAAGAGAATGAATATCACTTTCTCAATAAAGTTCTATTACAAAGTCGCAGAGAAGATGCAAGAGACTTGCCTCTATGGTACTTGAATAACAATGCTTCGCAATGTTTTTCCCTCCACATGCTTCCTTGTTTTGCAAAAAGATAAGGTGAACTCTTTCCACTTCTTACGTACGCGTCGAGTATTTGAAAATTCGTCCTGCTACCTGTCGATCTTTGTTCCCGTCGATTCGAGAGATCGAGATTCGAGCGCGACATCTCGGCCATTTCCGGCGTCGCAAGCAGGTTACGGAGGGGGAGCCACAGAAGGTACTTACATTGCGCAGCGAACGGATTGAGGTGCCGGCGTTGATGGTCGCGATCGACTGATCGGGACCGATCTGTTTTACGTTCGATTTTACGTTTGTAAATCGGCAAATTGCGCGTGCGTGCGTGCGTGCGTGTGCGTGAGTGCGACCCGGCGGTAGAGAACAGACGTGTGTAAGAAAGGAGTCACCGTGGGACCGCGGCTGAATGTTAGTAAACTTTCCATCGCGCCTCGAGCAACGTGTGGAAAAAACGCAGGTACGAGAATCGAGAGTCCCCTCAATGTCGTCGGCGCGTTACGGTTGCTCGGCGAATAACCGTCGTTTCGAACGCGCGCTCCCATAACGTTGCGTCTGTCCGTCGAGGAGCGTCGAGCGAAGCGAGGTCTATCTTGCGTCTCTACCGAGTCGTAACCATGTTTCGCACGAAATGGTGATGTGTGTGTGTTCCACGTTGAATCGCTTGACGCGCGCGCGACACGTTCGCGACGACCGATTCGGCCGAACCACCGATAATAATAACCAACTAAAATCCGTCTCGATTTTTATTTTGCAGCAAGGAGCACGATCACTCGTCGTTTTACAAGTTCCTACAAATGGAGCACAATCACAAGAACACCGACTGCTACTTTTTCTATTACTCCACGTGCAAGAAGGTGAGCGAATCATTTGCATCCCATTAGAATTACTTTCGAGCGTGTTCTTATCGAATGGCTCGCCGATTTCGGTTATTTCGAAGGTGCCAAGTACGATAGTCCCATATTGCTCGCGTTATCCTCCGCCGAGGTTAGGTCGGCCATTTTGAAATCATGTTGACGAGAATTTGCAAACCATAATAGTCGGAAAATCCGTGTTATCGTTGAGCACAGACACGCGATCGAATTTCTATTCGTTTAATTCATTATGCACGAGATCTCTCACTGTTACAATTACATATCTAATTGTTAAAACTACGTTCATCGCGCCAACATGTTGCAATATATTTAATTACACTGTGTAAGGAGCAGATGTGTAATGTTTATCAATTTGCATGGGTATTTTATTAACGATAAGCTCGTGAACAAACGCTTCCGTCAAAATGAGCAACAGTATCTGTAATACTTTAAACATTTCTGTTTGATTACTTCCACTTGCAGTATTAATAATCTTGGGACTGCAAGTACTTGTGTTATCCTTATGAATTATTATCGTAAACGTTCAGTCTGAACGATTATCTTTTAATCTAAATCTGAAGTAAGTAGGTTAAATTAAACATTTGTACTTTAATTTGCACGAATTTTTGTTCACAGGGAGATTTTTGCCCCTTCAGACACGAGCCATCAGCTCTAGGTTGTGAAACCATGTGCACATTCTGGCAGCAAGGCAGTTGCCTCAATGAGCATTGTAATTTCAGACACATGGAACTGAAGGTAAATATTCTTCTTGAGTAAGCCCGCAATACTTATTTCCCTTTAGTGGATTCTCAGTTGTTGCAACAAAATAAATGTAAAACAACGATTGATACAGCTTGTATCTTGAATGTCAATAATGTTCATTTACATTTGACGATGCGATTGAGATTTACACGAAATAATTTTCACACGCTGTAATAAGGATATCAATTCAACTGTCGGAACTGTTATGAACCTCATAATTAATTTTAACATTATTGCTTTTAGAAAAATCGCAAGTCGATTCCATGCTACTGGGAAACGCAACCTGGAGGATGTAGGAAGCCGCATTGTCCATTTCTGCATAAGAACGCACGTACCATCAATAATCCTATCAACCCTGTTAAGACAGAAGTAACAACAAAGTCACCAAATCAGGAGTGGCTGAGCCGTCAAGGTAAAATCTGGCTCATTCATTCTCTTTATTTCAGTTTTTCTTTTTTTTTTTTCATTTCATCTCTCGTAACGTTGATGCTTTGCTCCGATATTTGTCGCGCTAGCCGTGCTTTTACATTTCGCTCTTGTTGCACAGATGACACAAAATATGACGGCAGTAGTACCGAATCAGACCAAGGTAGAGGCAGCAGTGAAGCTGGCAGTTTCATCGGGAGCCCGGCCGTCGATCCTCTCATCGTCAAATTCGAAGAAGGTATGAGGCTTTACTAGCCCCCCCGTCCATCTTTCAACGTACATTATCTTACGTCAGCTACTCTCTCTCTACCGCCTAGCTTGCAAACGAATATGAATCTCCCGAACGCGCTCAGTATGCCGAAAAGCCTGACCATACCCAATAACCCCAACAGTCTCAATATCCCCAGTAACATCAGCGTCGCGAATAATCTGAATGTTCCACCACCGAACGTGCAAAACTCGCAGTCCTCCCCGTGTCATCACGCGCTATCATATCCGCACCATCATCAGCAAAATTTGCACTCTCACTCCTCCGGGCAGTCTTTGTCGCCGTTGCAAAACCAACAGAACTCTCCGCTCCTTCAGCAACCATCTTATTCCCCGATTCACACGCAGCAGACCCCGCAGCCTCAAACCTCGAGATTCCCCTTTCCATTCCTCGGCATTACGTCGTATAGGAGATTCTAGGGTCGACGAGAAACTGTTGTAGCATTTACGTGTACGATGCGACATATATATTATGATTTCCCTCGTTCGTCAACCGAGCACAGAAGAATACTTTCGGAAGAAAATTTACGAACGATCGAGAGACATCGAGAATCGTTCTGTCGATTATATCGTGCGTAAGACGATAAGATAATTACGACGCAGCATTTGGCACGAAATACGATGAATTATCACGAAAGTATCGTTCTGCACGTAAAATTGTGTAACGACACGTGTACGCTTCCTTAGTAGCGAAAGAGATATATACATATACATACACACACACACACATATATAAATATATATATATTTATATTTATATGTGTGTGTGTGTGTGTGTGTATATATATATATATATATATATAATAACGAGAAAAAGCGCGCCCTGTGCTGATCTTATAGCATATTATTTAATTCACGGCGCTAAGTATACATTAGTACAGTTCTGATACTTAATCAGCATCCACTTTTTTACTTGTTTCGTAAAATGATGGATCGATATGATGAGGTGCAACTAGTGCGTAATTGTTCGTGCGTACGCCGCTGTCGTAAGCTGTAAGGATGATGACAATCATCTCGATCATTTCACCGCGAAACGATCGAAATGACTTTCACCGATCATGTTTTTTTTTTCTTTTATTAAAGATATCTTATATCACATTAGTTGCTCTTATTGCGACGATCGTCATTTACATTTGTAACGTTTGACTTATCATTCGCTGATTTACACTCATTCTGTACTCGTGGCTCGTCTACGGGGAAGAGGGATGACATGCAACATTTAGATTTCTCGATTCGCCACTTGTCTCACGGATTGGTATTTAGCGGACACCTTTTATCGGCAATCATGATATACGGCAATCATCTGAGCACAAACGCGCGAAACTTAATTGAAACCTTTTGCACACTTTCGTGTCGCTACTGTAAACTGTAGCAGTGAATATCAATTTTTCCAGGGGCTGCTATATCTAAACTTTGCCTGTAGCCCTCTAACCGCCTATGGCTATCTTTCTCCAGCTGCAGTGTGATCAGTAGAAAAAGGTTCAAGTGTCTACGACGATACGGTACGCTGTAAGATCGCGAAAACCGAATACCGTGCTAGGCGAAGAAGAAGATAGCTATGGGTCGCCGCTTTACGCCGTACACACACAGAGAAGGAAAACACACACACACACACACACACATACACATACAGAGGCACACAGAAATTCTTTGCACTCATACAGAACCTTGCTCTTAGCTGCGGGATGATAGTATTTAATGTTAAACGAATACTTGTTGTATCACGACGAGTGAACTCTGCCCGTTTTACGTTTTGCGTCTTCGACGGAGAGGTAGTCGCTACAGCGACGCTCGGGAGGCTTATTTTAAATATCGCTCCCTGAATGCGAATTTGTACTACGCCCCGGGCGTGGCCGATCGAAGGAATAGAAAATATTATATACTACGTAGCATAAGAAGAAAAAAAACTTCGGGTTAGCCGATTACCTCTGTCTCGTTAAAAGTAAAGAAGACGAAAGAAAAGACAAAAAGGTAAAAAAAAAAGAAGAAGAGGAGAGAAAGAAAGCTCTCGCGCATTGTCTCGTCGGTCACGTCCTCGGGTCGAGACGAGTGCAGAGTTGTGGAGAGAGATAGTAAAAAAATAATTCGCGAATATTCCTCTCTCTCTCTCTCTCTCTCTCTCTCTCTCTCTCTCTCTCTCTCTCTCTCTCTCTTCCTCCGTGCCGGTAGACGTGAACGTGTATAGGCTCTCCTTGATGTCGCGTACCGTGTAATAGCGAGCTTGTGAGTTACGTTAGGTAAATGACGAAGAGAGGACAGGCCGAGAGAAAGAAAATGAGAAAAAGAGAGAGAGAGAGAGAGAGAGAGAAAGAGAGAGAGAGAGAGAGAGTCAGGACGGGAGTAATGTGTGCGAGTGAGAGAGTGACTTAGTTAGAACCGGGGGGTAGAGAAAGGAGAAAGAGGGGTTTAACGGAGTAATAATATTTCGTGCGCGGCTTCCCGCGTTTGAGATAAACAGATTCCTAAGCTTTGTGTTTACGCGTGCATGAGTAATAATAATAATGCCTTCATATGTTTTGGCTTGTCACACGAATTCGAGAGAAAGAGGACTTCGGGACAACACGGCACACGGGGATTACGCGGTGTGATACCGCACGGGCGGATATAATTCAACGAGTGATAATTGCGCAGATAATTTCGCAGGTCACGTTGATCGTTTACGCGAGTATGTCTCGCATGGGCGTTAACGCATTCGCGGCGAATTCAAAGGGATATATAATAACGCAGGAGGGGAAAAAAAGGAGAGTATATACAAAGCAAAACAAACAGAACGATTAAAAGTAGAAGTTTATAAAATCGTAATCGCCAAACGTGCGACATTTCTCGACGTTCTGCAGGAGTGTTCAACAAAATACGGCTTTAGAGCTTGCTTTCTACGTGATGATGATGATGATGATGATGATGTCAAACGGAAAGAGGAAAAAAAAACGCGAGGTTGTCGTCTATATTAATCGAAGTAATCGAATTGAGTATAGCACGCGTGCGCCACACGGCAGATTCGCGTTTGACGAGTTTCTGTGTATGATGAATAGCATATTAAACTTTCAACTTTTCTAGTGTATCGCACGCGATTTGATCCCGCGGGTTCACGACACCCGCTATAAAGGGGGCTTCGCAGCGAACGGTTCAGGAAGCTCTTATTTATTATTGATCTTGCAGTGAGATGGAAAATTTTATAATCGTGGAAAGTGTATATATATAT